TCTGATAAGTTTGTGTTGCGACTTTTTGATTTCGAAGGAAAAGTCAGCTTTCAGCAATCCCTAATTTGGCTTTACCGGAAACCGAAGAATGTTGGTTTGGGTGAAGAAGTCCACACCTCATTCTTCAATGAGGTGTGAGGCCGCATTGGGCCAATTCACAAATGCTGTTCGGCCAACTTGGCATTCGAAATTAAAAGTCAACTTTTGCGCGTCCTATCATTCGAGAGACATCCTCAGGGCTGGATCTTATTCTTACAAAAGATTCAAGATACCATTATATATGCATTACTAAGTCACAACTCAAAAAAGACTGAGAATAGGTAGCCAAGTAGATAGATAGGTATAGAATGCCAATCTAAATGCTTTTACGCTTAATTGTGTGTGGGTGTCTGTGTGTGTGTGTGTATGTGAGCAGCTAGGTATGACATTCCATTTTGTCAGTACATGGTGCCAAGATGGCAGCCAGCACAATAACGCTGTCTCGGGACCCAGTTACCCTTTGAGTATGCACATCAAGAACATGTGCTGCATATAATTGTGTAGCGTTGCCTACAATGGGGCAGCCGCACACTCTTTGTGCAACCCCGCGAGACCAGCCGGTGCCTTCATAGCCTCACCCGCAGAGCCACACTCACATTCACGATGTAACGGTGGTGACAGCAAGTGTCGCCATGCAGAGCTGTACTTCTCGCAGGCCGCATCAGGTGATGAACGACTGACAACTGAATTTTCACACAATCATACATGGGGCTACAGCTTTCCATACACGATTGTGGGCAAATTGACCCATCAGTCCTTCGCAGCCTCACACGACCTTGGCTGAGCAGATCGGTTGATCAAGAAGATCTACCGGCAAGATATGAGAAACCTGCCTATTACGAATACACATTCTTTCACACAGCCCAAGGATCCGCTCCGAGATTTCCACTGGTTTCCGGGCGCCAAGGCGACCACCCTATTGATTGGCGCTAAGCCCTCTCGGATGAACTACGTGGTAGGTCATGCTAGGCAGTGGGGGTCAAAGGTGAGTGTGAAGCATGGGATGCGTGATGCTCCGGCTGGCCGAGACGTGAAAGAGGCAACAAAGGAAACGGTGTCCCGGTGGTCATGGGTAGGGTGTTAGTGGCCAGACAATGTTGATGGTGATCGGTTGATAACCGATTTGTTGGGTAAACGTACGGTGAAGCGAGAAGAAGAGGTGCCTTGATAACATTGCATTAATAATGGAGCTTGCAGGGATGGTTGTAGGAAAAACAAACACACTCGGGGCATTGGCAGTAGTGGAAGTAGTAGTAGTAGTAGTATCAGTAGGCAAGTGGAGCCGGGCGTAGAGGAGACTGGGAGAGGACGATGGGGAAAAGGAGAAGAATGAAGAGTAGTAAGAGGAGGATAGAACGGGAACAATTGGCTTTGTTCATCGCCCAGTTGTTGCTTCATTGTCATTGCATGTTTCCAGACCTGGTTTGATCATACCGGGCGCAGGTGTGTGTCAGTGGGCGGGACTCGCCAAAGTCGCTTAAGGACAGTTTCAAGGAGTGGCGTTTAAATTTGGCCACAATCAGACGAACAGGCCTCACGAGGCCTTCCAAAGGGCTGTCGCATCCCGGCTGGACTGCAGATTACACCTCGCTTTGACCGCTCC